GTACCGGAGTGCTAGCTGGCGGGCTTCTGCGCTGCTCATTGGCAGGGGTGAAGTCAGGGTTGTGGCTCTGAAGCACGCTGCTGATGTGGTTCAGGAGGTCACTGAAAAACTCTGGGACACCCTCATAACCTGGAAATATAGGAAGACTTTCCTATTTAGAAAGAAATGTTAGAATCTCTCTTCTGAATGTACAGAAAACCGTTTACACGGGTAGTTTATATACCTACTCCATTCAAGTGAAGAGAGCGAAAGCAGTGAGACTTAATCCACTACATCTAAAGATAAAAACTATAACAGAAGTTGGAATAATGTACATTAATTTGATTATGCATACTCCCAGCAAAGATATTTTGGGTTCATTTTAATGAAAAGTGGGATTAATGGCAGAATTCTAATACAAAGTTGCCACATTGACAGATCATGTTTTGGCCTCATTCAGTTAAGGATTAGCCAGGTGACAGGGGCTATACATGTATTTCAACAGAACTGATGCACAGAAAGAGACGACAGCAGTTTTTAGACACTGGTACCAGAAAGAGTGACAACCAGGTGACCAGAGTAAGTAGTCTACGTCAAAATGAAACGTATATTCCACTTGACTTAATCAAATATAAACCACCCCTGTGGAGGAGAGGCAGCACCTACCAGGGAATGCATTGATGTCAATGACAGCATGTTGGCCTGTTTGGTTGTTGATGATGACATCAATGCCAAACAAGGACACACTCAGCGCCTGCCGCAAGGACTTGGACAACTCTCTGATGACATCCTCATTGGGTGGCTGAGACACTCCCTCGACATTCTCTCTCTGAGATCAACATAAATATTGAAGCATATTAACAACGAAACTGAAAAAGACACATGGGATTTTAGTCAGTGACGGTGTGGACGTACCGAAGTCAAGTCTGAGGACGACTCTGGTTTGGAAACATTGTGGCTATTGAAGAAAATGGCTTTCCTGTCTAAAAAGGAAACGGAGGTATAACATGAATTTGACAGACCCTTTACATAAAGAGTGGTTCAGATGTATTCAGACCCCTTCATGGTTTGCACCTTTTACTGTGCTGTTGATTTTAATTCAAATAAAACTGCCATTCTGCCCATCAAGCTACACTCAACAACCCATAATGACAATGTGAAAAATGTTATTTTTGCAAATTTATTAAAAATCAAAAACTGAAATCTCTCACTTCCATAAATACACAGGCCATTTCCTGTGGCACTCCAAACCTTTGTCAGTTATATCTAGTTGGTTTTAATTCTTCTTGTATCTAGACATTGACTGGAGACCACCAGCAAAAAGTGAAGGTGTTTCTCGTTATAAGAAGATACTTTTCTCGTTTTCAGGACATACTGTGTTTTCTCGTTATACCGTAACCCTGCGCAGCTCGGAGTGACTGGCAGCAGCGCACAAACTGGCTTTGAGTAATACCTCCTTATCAAATTCAGTCCTGCAGTCACTTTATCATCAACAGTCTCACATACCAACTTTCCACAATGAGCAGCATTGCGCTCAGGAGGTGCGCTCCTTGAGACTCACTGATCTGACACTTAAATCCACACACAATAAGTAGCTTGCAAAATAACCCATGAATGAGTGCAGTCAGTGAGCCATGTTCAATAAGAAGAATACCCTGCACATGTCCTGGTGATGTTACATACATTATTGACAGCAGGCATAGTCAGTGTGTGCGCTGCTGTCACTCCAAGCTGTGTCAGGACGAGGCTCGTATTAGGGAGTAGATCCCCTCTAGCGGTGTGTGATATATTAAACAGCTCTTCTAAAACTTAGGCAAAACCACAAAAACACGTGCGCATGGTGTGGAGCTATAGGACTCCAGGTGCATGCGCCACTGCCTGTCAGCCCATTGTGCACATAGAAAGAAACTGTCATGACAAATTTGACTAACAAAAGATAACAATGACGACCACTCACAATTAATTTAACTTTACTAGTGGTACTTCAAGAAACACGTTAGAAAATACTGCGGTCAAGTGAACTGCGGATTGCAAAAACCTATTTATAGTTACACCCAGTATATTAGTCATGCATCATGGCCGATAAACAACAATGATCATGTGGCGCTCACAATGTGAACACAGATTGTAATGATAGCATGGCACCGTATTTATAATGTGGTCATTTTATTGCAAACGTCAATGTGAGATCTTCTGACTCAAAGTACATTAAAATGAAAAGATAATAATGGTAATGTATCGAACCTACGTAAAATACTCTTATTACAGAATCAAACCACAAAATAAATGAACAAAGTAGCCTACCTTTAGGTAGCCAGTTCAGTGCTGACATGTCGCAAAACTAATGCAAAGTAAATACATACGTCTCTAATTCGCATACGCCATAAACATGCCAACCTCTGACATCTTAGTGCCCAGCACGCAGCCAACAGGATCTACGGGCACCCTCACTCACACTGTGGATGCAGTAAGTGGCTGTGACTGCATTTGGAGATCGCTCCTCAGCGCCTTTTAAACAACTACACCCTCTTTTGACCTCAAACAGCAGAATAACTTCTTCTTTGAGAAGTAAAAGCTCCTGCTCGAGAGTGCAGCCTCAGCTAATGTGGATATTTACAACGCAGCTTGGATTGAGTGCAAGCTGCAGGGCTCACGTTAGAGGGTAGAGATGATGTGATCCACTCTAGGGGTCTGCCATATTATATCAGACAGCTCCTTGGCCATATATGTGAAACTATATTTCTCTATATATGTTATACTGTGTGTTGATCATTAATTGACAGCCAGATGCAGCAATGTAACACTTTAGGCAAAATCATGTCAAAATGCACAGTGTGCACAGGATTGCAGCTGCAGGTGCCAGCAGAATCCAGCAACACAGCGTAGGAAAGGCAGGGTCAGAGTCCAAGGGACAAATCAATTCAAAACCAAGACAAGTAGAAAGCACAAACGCTGGAGAGTCACGAGTGCTTCATTGATGACAATCTGGCAGTGAGTGACTGTGGAGACTTGGCTCACATGCTGGACCAGAGCAGAGCAGGTGGCAAAAAAGGGAAACCTGGATCAAAGACGGGCTGAGTCATGGGCGTTGCTAGACTTGCAGCTTTACTGGGGCACAGCCGATTTACAGTGGGGCACGTGCAAGTGGTCTAACGACACCGATGGGCTGAGTCTAACACTACAGGGAAAACAAGTGGTGGAGACAGGACAAAGACTGTGACAAAAAATATCTGTTCTGTGCATGTGAAACTCTTTCAGATAAATGCATCAGCTCACAGACAGATTTAAAACAAGACATTTCTCTTGTTAAAGACCACTTCACCACAGATTCATCTTCTCAGATTGCTTTCCATGAAGTCCAGCATCTTCTCCCATGCATCTTCCTGGGCAGCAGCGTGGGGGGTGGGCTGACCTCCCCACAGAGTGAACACTGCAGGAGAAAAAAGAACAAACATCAGAACTACAGTTATTTTCACTTTAATATTACAATTAAGGGTCTAACAGTTAAAATGTAATGACAACAAGTATAAAACTGGATCAGGCTCACATTTTTTTGGTTTATTGCGCCACAGGGATAATCTTGCATTTGGCGCGTAAGGCGGCTCAATCAGGTGACCGGCACCGGGGTATGACAACCGGGTGAACAGCTCAGATTTACCCGCAGCCTTCAGAGTCTCCTCAATCTGAGAAGAAAACAAAAAAGAAAGAAAGAAAGAAAGAGGGAAAATGAGCCTTTACATTGCATAAAATCAGGGTCATTCTTTAAAATTCAGGTTGTTCAACTGCTGGAATTAAAAAGGATCACAAACAGTTTAGGAAAACACTGGATATTTAACCAGTGTTAATTAACAAGATGGCGCTTCTTGGGGTGCGATGTCGCAGTTCACTTGGAGTCAGGTTGTTTCTCTTTTGTCTTTTTTTTTGCTTATTTGTGCCATGTTAAAGCGAATGTGAGATTATATGTGCAATAACCCCTTACTAGACATACGCAATAATAATACAGAAATGTTCCGAAAGGTATTTTTCTAAGAGCATCTCATCAACAGTGTTCTCCTGGGGGACCTGAATAATAGCAGGACATTCTTTACCAAGCAATGGAAACAAGCCTGAATATAAATTGTCTTTTAGTATGTTATAACCCCTCTCTACCTCACCAAATGTAATGACATATCCAATTCCACCATGTGAATTACTAAGTGCGATGTTTGAAGTTCACTGTGGAAAATACTATTATCCTATTTTTGTGTATTGCAGTTTTAAGGCTTTGTCTCCTTTTTTATTTTAAGAATGTTCTTTCTGGCTTTTGACTCCTTACCTGACTCTAAAGGAGAGCTGCACAATAATTCCTATATGCCTAGACTGTCTGTTTATGCATAAATGGCAAATAAAAATCTTGATTTGACTTAATTATTACCTACCACATTTGCACTTTCTATGCTTGCAGTGCTCAGGTCATCTTCACTTACAATGGCCATTAATGGGCAAGCAATGTTCTCTATCTGCAAAGACTCAAGAAATGATTTTAGATCAGAGTGTTTGAAATTGACAAAAAAAAATATTGCTAGGATATTGTCAGTGCACATGTATGTTTGCTGGTGGGCTATCATGAGGACAGAGAAGCTGCAAGCTCACAACACCTTCAATATGGCCTCAGGACGAATGTTAGCAGGTAAGGACACCTCTCTGAAACTGACATGGCCTTGCTCATCGAACGTCCAGTGTTTCTGGTCACTAAAGGACAAGGTAACAGAAAAAACCACAAGATACATTTATGGAAATAATTTCAGTGTTACAGGGTGGCATGGTGGTTAGCGCTGCACAGCAAGAAGGCTCCAGGTTCGAGCCTCAAGACCGGGGCCTTTCTGTGTGGAGTTTGCATGTTCTCCCTGTGCCTGTGTGGGCTCTCTCCTTAAATTAACAACCTATAAGATTAATACCAGAACTTTAGGCTCCAAATTTATCAATGAAGTGTCATACAAGATAGGAGACCCTATCTGTAATAATACAATTTACCTGTTATAGTCATCAGCCCCGTCCTCTGCATCTAAGAGCAGAATGTTACTTCCTATTGGGCCATTGATACAAATCAAACAGGCTGGCTGGAGATGAAGAGGACAATGTTAGAACTTAATAAAAAGCACTACTAATTTTCTATTGCTAAACATTTTGTATGTTTATTTTTATACCCATTCTTGTAAAAGATATGATTGTTCATGTTCGGTACAAAGAGTTATGTATTGACCAAAGTGTAGATTTAGAAATGGATGACAGAGACAGGCCTCCCTGACGTACTTTGACACCCATCTGAGTGGCAATTCGAAGAGCCAGGTAGGATCCGTAAGAGATACCAATGATCCCAACTCTGTCGGCACAGACTTGATGATGATTCTGAAGCAGGTGAAATGCTGCCTGTCCAAGCAAAACAAATCAGAAGATTTGTGGAAATGACAAAATAATTAAAATATCACTACCCAGCGTAACATCTTGCATAAGGGAGTGCATAAAGGCGTTAATAATGTTAAGGCTTGCCTTAAAGTTTTGAACGAGTGTGGGGAGGACACCCCCAGATTTGTGTCTCACTATCTAGAGGAACTGCCACCTGTGACATTTATGAGTATGGATGTGTGTGGCTTGCTTCGTAAAATGGAGCATCTTCAGGCCGAAATTTCTGTGATGAAGCAAGCGGCTCACCTGCAAGCTGAAGCCAGCGACAGTCTACGGGCTGTTGCAGCAGACACGATCAAGCGTGTCAGTGCGGTGGAAGTGCGCGCTGTCCATGGCGATGTATTGTCGGATGCAGCGGAGGCCGACCACAGTATCTCTTTGGCAGGGGAGGCGGCGAAGGGGGGGGGGGGC